AATGGAAAAACTAAATAACAGTAACGTCTTAACCGTGCTGCGTGTGCTTAGTGATTTTGCTATTTTAGAAAACTAAAAAAAAATTTAGAAAAAATTATACAATTGGAACACATATCAATGATATATCATCATATTCAAACACTAAATGTCCAGAATCTTAAACAGAAAAACAACTGACGTTGATAAGCTCATCAAAGAATGATGATACAGAGGGCACCTGCTTGTCAACAATATTCAAGTCTGTACAAAAAATTCAACTAGAGTCAAATTCCTAAAAAAAAATTGAAGGGGATTGTTGGCGCCCGCAGGCAAATGCGTTCTAGAAAACCAAAAAGGTGGATTAATATATTAATTATTATTATTATTAGATCTATATACACACGAAATGTATGACCTGGATAAAGTCCACTAATGCATTCAAGTTCGACGTGACCAGCATATTAGTTATTACTCGCCACCTATGCTCATCAAATGTTTAAAATAAGTGTAAACATAGGTGCGTATATAATGTATTTAAAATATAAATGTTAATAATTGTTTTAAATACCTACAACCTAAGGTGTTCCAAGGTGTATAGTGCATTGTATAATAATTATGCAAAACAGTTAGGTACCCATACGTATTAAACTTAGAGCGGTGTACTGTTCGGGCTCACTTATTTTATACATTGCGCGTTAAAACTTAAAAGTGATGATTTGAAAACAATTTCTTAAAACTACTAAAATATTTTTTAAATTATGTGTTATAATTCGTATAGTGTAGCTCCCACGCAAATTTTTCAATTTTTATTTTCGGAAACCTAGTTAAATCAACGTTTTAGAATGATTGAGCAAAAATAATTCTGACACCCACCCATGGGGGTTTTACATAACAAGTCGATGGATGTTTTTGATTATAATTGACTGAGCCAGCGCCTTGCACAAATTCGCATAAGAAAGAAAAAAAAGATGCCAGGAGAGATTTCGTCAGATGAACAACCAAACTTTAGTCCAATTAATAACTTTAAAATAAATACTTATTTTACTGTAATTGATATTGTTAGTTCTCAAATATTGGAAAGATTTAATGAGAGTTCAAGTCCATTAATGAATGATTTATCACTTTAAAAAAAAAACAACTATTAGAAATAAAATATTTATCTAACTTGCCTAATGATGCATTTAACGGATTTCAACAAGCTTATGGAAAGTTTGTAATATAAGGACTTGAGAAGAGAATATTATATGCAATTTGCAAATGTATATTTAGAGTTAGAAAAAACGTTGGTATTTCCAAAAACATTACACCGACAAATTGATACACAATTTAATAGTTATATATATGAAGCAAGTGGTACTGAAAGTGAAGGAGACGAATTTATTGATGATGATTTAATGGATACTCATAATAGTGATGGTACTATTCACATGTTGCATAAAGTATGCAATGAAGCCGGTTTGAAAGATACATTCCCTGCTCTATACACGGCACTTAGTATTGCACTGACTCTCCCTATATCAAGTGCTTCCCCTGAAAGAGCATTTTCAAAATTAAAATTAGTAAAAACAAGGCTTCGAAGTACCATGTGTGAAGACATGCTTGAAGTACTTATGATGTCTAGTGAATGTGATATTCCAATAGATCCAGATAATATAATTAAGCGTTTTGCATCATTCAGTCCTGAATTGTCAAAACTGTTAATATAAATTTATAAATTTTTTAAATTATAAAGTGTTATTTATTTATACTAGTTGAACTTAGTCATATACTATGTAATTTAAATTTACAAAATATAATTTATATTTAGTTACCTAGTTAGTTTTGTTCCCAATTCAAACATAACTTAATTTTATTAATTTGTATAATAGGTAAATTGAGTTTGTAATATTTCATTTGGATTGGGTTGAAGGTGTGTTGAAGGGGGGTGGTGGGTAGGTACATTTTGAATTCCATTGCCCGCCCACAAAAAAAATAGTTCGGCGCCACTGGAGCGATCGCAGCCAGGTACGTCGGGTATATATGAAAATACCCAAAATTTAAAATACCTATAACTTTCAAATAAGTCTGACCACCAAATTCAGACTTCAATGTCATTTTCAATTAAAAACTAATGATTTCCGGCAATTAATTGTTGCAATATCGTTCTTAATTCGTTGTAACTTGTACTATTGCGATGTAGTGTTGTCCGACGATTTAATTTAATGGTTAAACCGGTTTCTTTTTGGGCGCAGATGACTGTCACTGGAAGTAAAAAGAGTGTTTCAATTTGCCGTTCTTCGTGGTAATTCACTTTGATCGGGAACTAGAAAATAATGTTAAAATTCATAGACGCGCCAGCCAAATCTGAAATTGTTAGTATTTAGGTTTTAGAACTAAATTTTACTTTTGAAATTAAATATACTAATAAATTGTGCACGACAACATTTTTAGAAAAATTAAATAGTAAGTATGAAGTCACATGTAACTATGTAAGCCATGGTTATGTTAGAATAAGTGGAATGGACTGACAAAGAAATATTATTTTATCGATCTTCAATGACTATGTAATGATTTTACAGCTAACAACAACTATATATAAACTAAAATCTACCCCACCTCGCTGTCTGCAGATCAAGACCTATAAATTTGTCAATTCGAAAGAGGTGTTTACTATTATATTATTTGCTGTATAAAATAACACGGTCTACATTTTATACTGGCAACTATAGCTAGATGCCTGTAAACAAAATTAAGACTTTTATTCTATTTTAAACCAACGACCCGACTCCGTGGGATCTCCTTATGCATTAATTCCGCGGTTTTAGCTATAACTACCCGCAAACATTAATTTATATATCTAACTATATAAATACACAGACTAAACTCTGAAACTACTTATCAGATATTTTTGTATATATTATACATATGTATAAAAAATAATAATAGATACAAATCAACAATCATGACCGATTAACCGATAGCAACCAATATAATATAATACACAGGTAGATTTTCCTAAAACGTACATTCATATAAATCTTCTCCATGAAATACTCTTTCGTTTTAAAAAAAAATCAAGAAGATCTAATAAGTAGTTCCAGAGTTAAGCTTGTACAGAGGTTTTCATTTAAATCTAAAATCTTAGTCGTTAAGTCGTTGCAAGTATGTGACACCCTCACAAACAACAATGAACTCTGTTGTAGCTGAATTGCCTATACAATGCGCCGTGTTAACATAATTTTGTATTTAATTTATTTTCAAATATATTAAAACTATATTATTATAATATTATAATTTATGATTTACAAGAAAAATGATCAAAATGGCAAAAATAAAGAACAGTAACGACTTAACCGTGCTGAGTGTGCTGAGCCTAAATCAGGTAAACACATTTTAGATAACAAAAAAAATAATTTAGAAAAAATTATACAATAGGAACACATATTGAAGGGTTCAAACACTATATGTCCAGAATCTTAAACAGAAAAACAACAGACGTTGATAAGCTAATTAAAGAATGATAATACAGAGGGCAACTGCAGGTAATCAATAATCAAGTTTGTTCAAAAAATTCAACTAGTCAAATTACTAAAAAAAAAAATTGAAGGGGAGTGTTGGCGCCCGCAGGCAAATGCATTTTAGAAAACCAAAAAAATTTAGAAAAAATTAAACAGTAAGAACACAGATTAATGAATTCAAACTACAATCTCCAGATCCTTGAACAGAAAAAACAATTCACAATGATTACCTAGCTCGCTCTAGATTGTCAATACAGAGGGCACTTGTATTTTATCAATATTCGTCTATACAAAATTTTCAACTAGTCAAATTCCTAAAAAAAAATTGAAGGGGAGTGTTGGCGCCCGCAGGCAAATGCATTTTAGAAAACCAAAAAAATTTAGAAAAAATTATACAGTAGGAAATCACATTAAAGAGTTCAAAATAAAATGTTCAGTATCTTAAACAGAAAAAACAATATTGCCAATTATTAGCTCATTAAAGAATGATGATACAGAGGGCACCTGCTTGTTAACAGTATTCAGGGTTGCTACTAATTTTTTTCTTAAAAAAAGTGAGAATAGTGAGTAATATTCTAGTAAAAAGTGAGTATTAGTTTCATATTATAAGTGAGTTTTTTTAAACAAAAACATAAAAATAAAATACAATTGTTTAAAATATTTTCAGTTGTTTTTTACTTTTTCAGTTTATTATAAACAAGTTATAAATTATACTTATAAAACAATTTTGTTTAAATATTAATAATAGTTGGTTCTACCTACAGTACCTAAATTATATAACATAAATAAAATGTAGGTAACCAACAACTGTAGAAACTGATATTATAGTATTATGTATATAAATTTTTTGAATGATATTATAATATAGTATAATATAATGTAATATACGTATTTGTAATTAAATATTAATAATGTGGTAATTATAGATACTAATTAGTAATTAGTGTTTAAAAAATATTTGTTCAACAATTTTCATGAGGTTATGAGTAATATTGTAGTCTGGGGATTTTTATTCCACAATTCATTTTTTTTTATTTTTAAAAATAGTCTTAAAACATAAATAATTATAAAAATTTCGAATATTTAATTTAAACACTTATTTACATTTATAGATCTTTAAAAAAGTGAAAAAAGTGAGGAATCAATGAAATAAGTGATTACACTCAAATAAAGTGAGAATAGTGAGAAATAGTGAGTGCGTAGCAACCCTGATATATTTTTTTTTAATACATATTGATCTTACAAAAAATAAAAATGAACAAAGATAAACTATATTATTGTTAGCATGCAGTGAGTGATTAAACTCTTGCAATAACTATTTCAAGTAAATAACTTTTTTAAACAATAGTAAAAAAAAATAATACATTTTTTTTTTTTTTACATTAGGATCTAATACATTATTTTTACAAATCGTGTACACATTTTTGTTTAGTCCATATACATCTTTCTGTATAACTTAACTTCAAGAGTTCATAGAACTCTCGGATTCTGAGATGTTGAGGAGGCAGCCCATGAAGAATGTTATTACTGAGTTCCAGTTGAAAACAAAGCAATTAATCCACTTGCAATTCCAACAGAAAATATGTAATTCCTATGAATATTTGAGTTAAGGTAATCTAATAATAAGCAAACCGAAAACAATAACTATTATTTAACACTTTAGATAAGTTATATATTATTATGTTTTGGGTAACATATAAATAATTTATTTTCTCTCATGGATCACAAGGTGTAAAAATGCATTGAATAAAGGAATGTAAAACTTCCTAAGCAAGAAACTGTTTTCTGAAGGAAAAAGACAAACACATTAAATGGATAGATCAGTAAAATTTAAAATTTTTTTTTTCTAACCATGCAGTTTATCAGATATCTCGAAAACAGAACAAAATAGATTAATATTCTTATTTTGTTTTGTAACCATTCACAGATGTAAGCAAAATATGATAATCCTTGATATTCAATATGATACCAAAAATTAGACTCTTTTATGGTCATCGCCTTTTCTAATTATTAAAGTTTGAGTTTTTAAATTATGAAATATATAATAAAAGGATACGCTGTTGTTGAGAATCCTTTTAGAAGATAGAAACTGAGCAAAACCACAATGACCAAAAATAATGCATTATTGTAGAAAATTGAAAATGCTGTTGCTTCATAATCCGCTACATCGTTTTTTTGGAATAGAGCTCTAAAATCATACAATAAAATAATATCATTTAAAAATCGGAATTACTTAACACTTATAAAATATAGGTAGAAATTAATGTTATATAAATTTCCATTTGCCTAAAAATCAGTAACAAAATCTCACATTTGTATACATTTAATTTTCTTACAATCCCTTTTTAACTGAAGTCATTTACAAAGTTGAAAACAAAATAATAATTTGTTCATCTTACTTATAATTTTGCAATGCATCAAATTTATATTTAAAAGCCTTTTAAACAATTTAATATTGTAATACATTAACCTATTATCTTGTTTAAACTTTTAAAGGTACTATCAATAATTTAGATACATGTTAGACATGTAAAACAAAGCAGTCTAAATTAACAATTTCAATACAATTTTAAAATTGAAAAAAATTATTTATATAATATATCGCTACATACTCTAGTAATCTATACATTATATTATATAATGATAAAAGAATGTATAATTTGAAATTAACCAGAACACGACTCCCGTGTCATTTAATTTTAAATGCCCCCCAGGGGATCTCCAAGAGGGGACACCGAGTGTGGTGTAGTAGACCCTAATCACCCCATCTTCAGAAGCAATTACTTAGAGATACGGTGAGAACCTTCATAACTTCACCTTATTCTATCCAATCAACTAAATTAAATATTCAGACTTAGAACAATTTTAATAAAAAAACAGAAATATTTTCTGTTAAATTTTTTAGACGTTACACGTCTTCCTTCTCAATTTATGGTTGTCGATACATGGAGCTCATTACAATATGTAGTACATTTTAAACAAGTTTGTGCCATGTTGTATAAAAAGAAATTCAGTGAGATTAATTTGATAATTTAAATATTTAAATTTACATATCTATATACTGCCGTCATAAGCAAGAACGACGTAAGTCCCCAAAAAAAATAAAAATGAGATAAAAACAATAAATTATAAAATATTTAGCTTGTGTATATGAATATGCCGTATGTCTGAAATATAACTCCAAAAGTATAATACAAGCAATAATCAAATAACTAAAACGCCGTAAATCGTAGAAAAATTTGTGGTTACTAGGTAAAATCGCCGCAAATACAACATATAAGCACTAACGCCATAAGTATTGTTGAAGATACGGCATTCTATCTGAGTACATAGTACAAATTATAATTTACGGCATTTTGGCTTGGTAACAAGGACCGGTTTACGTATTGCAAAGCAAAATATTCCAACATGCTAATTATAAAAATTATGTATAAAGTATTTTTTTTTTGTTTATAAATTGACTTAAATATAATATTTTTGTTTTGTGAATTCATTAATATTTAATTTAAGTGTATAAATAATTTTATCATATCAAAAATTGTTACTAACGAGTTACTACATTCTTGTTTTTGAATAAAGTATCAAAAGTTTATACCAATACTAAAGTACAACGTGAAAAGTAAAATATCTTGTTAAAAATTAATTTAATCATATTTATTATTGTTTCATTGCATCCGTTGGGTAAAATTACATAAGAAAACATAATATTATATCATATTTAAATAATTAGAATGTTCATTGTTTAAGGTAAGAATGTACTAAAACTCATTTTTCTCAAAATTGTTCTACGGTGACCTACGGCGCTTTCGCTTATGACGGCAATAATGCAATATAGATACCAGTTATCAGAAATACAACACTACAATATAAAAATAGAAAACATAAAGAATAAGTTTTCAAATTGTCAGAAAATTGTGAAGTTAACAGTCAGTTTTATCTTTATTATTCCGAAGCATAGAATATTGATTATGGTCATGTAACATCAATTTGAAACCATATTATATTTAAATTAGGGCTGGCAGTAATTTCAGTAATTTAGAATACCGGTATACTGTGTACCAATAATTAACGTTATTACCAAAAATACAGTATGCCTACATTTATTATTTATTATTTTATTCCTAGGGTGGAAACTTGGAAACACTAATAAATGAACCGGTATGTGGTATTCGCAGAGGTATGCTAACATACAATTTGGTATGCAGTATGTTTGTGAGACGGAGACCACACATGCAGGTATTGCATACTTTTTAGATACATAATTCCATATTAAGTTCAATAAATCATTTTGATGTCGATTAATTATCAATTATTTAAGTCTCCAAAACTTACTGACCAATAATTTGTTATTAATCAGTTTTTAGCAAAATAATTTCTCAGAGTACCTAGTTATTGCATTATGAGTATTTAACTATTTAAAAAAAAAAATAATAGTTTAAAGCATTTAAATAAAATTATAAAGTAATCTAATATATATTATGTACTTTTCGTCCTTTTCTTTTTTGCTGATTTTTTTGTCATCAGCATATTTTCTAGTGATTTCCCTGGTCACTGCTTCTTCCCTTTTGATCGCGATCTAAAAAATAAGTAGGTAGGCATAATGTACACTTAACAAGCACAATATTACACAAAAATATAAAGTCCAATACACATACCTTGTGTTTCAATATGAACTTGGTGTTTTTGTAGGCGAATGAGATGAGGTATGTGCTGCCCAAAGTGACAAGAATGAACCAAACAAGGGCTGGCATCATTTCGATCATGTGTATTCTCCAGTAGAGCCCTGTGCAAATAAGTAATTTGGATTAAATGACAAAATCGATTTAGTAGTAAGCTACCTAGTAATACAAGGTTGTAATGTAACATTCAAAGTACTTACAAATGGGCAATGCTGACACCATAAAAGCGCTGCCGTAGAATAGTGCTGAAGACTTGGTGGAAACATTTCTGCTAAAATCAGACAACAATTGTTCTTCTTCTTTGGTGAACAAAGGTTCAAATTTCTCCTTTTTAACCATTTTTGAGAAAAAAGTTTAACTCAAACGATGATGGGTTGAATGAAATAATATGTAAGTACTAAAATTTAAAAACGTTCACCGTCGAGACTAAGAGCTGTACAATGTTGAATGTATATTATGGCAGGTGAAACGTGTACGTCTCCTGCGTTACAGTTATGTTTACGTATCACCGCTTGGAGCTTGGGTCACCAACCGTGCACAACGTGTTCGTTCCCGCACAGTGTGACCGCTAAGAATTTTCAAAATATTCCCTTCGGAAATTTCTCCCGTCGCTTCTCATCGACGACACGGGTAATCATTTGATATAGGTATTTAAAAAAAAATACTTATTTAGGTACTTCGGTGCATTGGAGTAGAGTGATGAATTTATATAGGGCGCTATAACCTATTATATTTCTGGTACACAACATAGGTATATTATTCTAAAAATGTAACTAAAAAAAATTACGAAATGGGGGGGGGGGGGCCAACAAAATTTCAGGGGGCTATAGCCCCCTTATACCCCCCCATTCTATGCCTATGCTTCAATGTAGAATATCATGGTTAGTATAAGACCTATGAGAATATTACATAATATTATCTACATCGTCATCGTGATTCATACTATATTCGGTATGAGTATTTTATTTTTTACATTATTATAGGTACTTTTCAGTAACAAATAAAGAGCGAAAAAAATGTTAGATACAATAATTATAGATTAAAACTATTTTATTGATTCTACATCTACATTCTACCCCATAATGAAGACAAAACACTATGGGTAGGTAGTTCGGTAGTTGTTGTAATAATATAATTATTTGTTTTAGTTTTACACTTTTTTAGTATTTTGTACTGTTATAATACCTCTTAATAAAACTATGATTATAATATATAAAATATATTTGTCATTAGTCAAAGAATATTTTCTATTTTTTGAACCATAAAATATGAGAATATTATGTCGGTAGGTATAGGTATACTAAACATAGTCGTAGGTCGTAGCCATATACTAGTATCTATTTTCTTTATACTCTCTAGTTTCTACACTCGTATAAAGTTAAGACTCTAAAATAATCATTAACATTAAATTGCACTGTAACTAAAAAATGTGTAGCTACTAGCTAGTCCCCCTACCCAGCTACCCAGTGTTATTCTTAAAATATAATTTAAAATGTATACAAAATCTAAATTTAATTTTTATAAAATCTTCGACATAGGTACCTACAATATAAAATAACAAACAAAAGCGTTTAGGGTACTGCAATATAATATTATTAATAAATAAAAAATAAAATCACAAATCTCGACAAAGTTTCAAGTAGGTACTGGCAAATATTTTTAATTATAACAAAAGAAATAAAATCATTAATCTTCGTTTAAATTTACTATTTCGTTTAAATTTGAACTTAAAATGCCTAATGCCTATATGGCAACTGTTTTTATATATTTTTCAAAATAGTTACAAACTTACAATAAGAACTAGTCATGAGAATCCTGCTTGTTTTAAAAGTTTTATATATTTCTAAACTACAAAATAATTTGCAAATTTTCAAGATTTTGATGAATTTTGTCAAAAATTAACTTAAATACTTATACAAATGTCAGGAATTCAATGTTTCTTTAATTTTTCTCAACTACTCTTAAAACAACTTATAAGAAACCTTGTATTAAATTTTCGGGCATTTCGACCAAATGATAAAAATTTTAATGACATAATAAAAAAAAAACCATACAATTTAAAATTGTAAATGACTACAAATAAGTAAATAATAATATGTAAAAATAATGATAAAATAAACATTTTATGAAAATTTTAAGTACAACAAAATAATAAAATCATTCCATGATAATTAGTTAAATTACAGGTGAATATCCAATGTCTAACTTCAAACTTGTATTCTACTTTCCAGTAAACGTTTTTTTTGTTAAATGTAGGAAAACTTATGCGGAATCTTATATTACATTTTGGAGTCTTAGATACAATCAAAATTCGAACTTCTGACGCTCATAAAAATGTATTGTGGATCTATACGATCAACTTTTATTTTAATTTCTATTAACAATCACTTATAAAAAACCTTATATTAAAAAGTTTTTGGACTAAGTGAAAATTTTTTTATTGACAATAATTAAAAAATAACTAATAAAATTTGAAATTTTCTTTTGTCTACAAAATAATAGCTTAAAAAGTGTCTTAAATATTTTGATAACTTTATGGTAATATACTATATACAATTTCAACATAAACATTTGGTGAACATTTTATTTATCTATAATATACAGTTATTGTTTTGTTGCAGTTACACCAAACAGCAAAATTGAATTTTCAAAAACTGGTGTAAGAATCTTAGTTTTTCCTTTATTTTTTGTTTGATTATAAACACTACAATACTAGTAATTATTAATTATCATCAATGGTAATTGGCAATATGAAAAATTATGTGACAAATATTGTGATCGAAGTAATCAAAAGTGTGTCAATTGTATAATAATTATTCTAACTCTACTTTGTAAAAATAAAAATCGTCAACCCATAAGTACCAGCTGTATAGCTAGATCGAATCATCTATATGAATATTTGAATGAATACGTATTGAAAAGGTGAGCATAGAAAATTGAAATAAAGAGCTAAGTGCCTGGAGAAGAGGACGACCTGTGCAACCGTGATGTCGACATGTCGTTAGCCTGCTGCCAAGACATTAGACAAATAGACAAGAATACTAATCACTAAACTTGCAAGCAGCCGCTGCACTGCTGCAGTGCTGCACCAAACGCCCGGCACAGCTGCACGGCGTACGCACGATTCGTATCAGTCGTAACTCGTATCACCATTCACGATTCACCGGCGTCTGATTACGATTTACGGCCAGCTGACTTGGGCACAAAGGTGGCAGTGCGTACATAGTTACGGTACCGTGCAGTAACGCGTCGCGTATGGTTTCTATTCCATGATAACCGAACATATATGCTCCTTGGGGTGTGCTTAAATCGGAGTCGAGCTGAGTCATATTGTAAGAATCCAATGCCCGTAGTAGTACAGCACTGTGCCGTTCAGTACAACAAATTGTCATAGTGTTTTCCTGCGGCAGACGTCGGGCGTTTTATTCATATATTTCACTCCGATCGTGTGTGTGAAGTTTACCGTAAAAACCCGCGCTCCGTTCCGTTTTTCGCCTGTCGAAGTGATAAACGTTTATTGCACACACGCACAATCTAATCGAATTCGTAAATCGGTCCGAAATGGCATCTGGAGTAACCGTAGCGGATGCTTGCAAAAAGGTCTACGAGGAGATCAAAAAGGACAAGAAGCACAGGTACGTGGTGTTTCACATCAAGGACGAGAAGCAGATCGACATCGAGGTGATCGGCGAGCGCAACTCTACTTACGACCTGTTCCTAGAAGACCTACAAAAGGCCGGCCCGCAAGAATGCCGTTACGGTCTGTTTGACTTCGAGTACACTCACCAATGTCAGGGCACGTCCGAGAGCTCAAAGAAGCAAAAGCTCTTCTTGCTCTGCTGGTGCCCAGATACTGCCAAAGTCAAGAAGAAGATGGTCTACTCGTCCAGCTACGACGCGCTCAAGAAGTCACTGGTTGGCGTACACAAGGCGTTCCAGGCCACTGACCATTCGGAAGCTTCCCAAGAAGTCATCGAGGAGAAGCTCAGGTCCACCGACAGACAGTAAAAATAATTCAACAAAAAACTTATATACAACAATACCCATATGATATTATGTATATTTATAAAACAAAGTTTTCGTCTTTTACGTTTTGGTATTAAATAAAATAAATAAAAAAAAATATATATATAATATTAGTACTTCCACAACGTAATCTTTTATTATTACAAAACAAAAAAAAATATTTATAAATTCAAAAACATATAATACTAACATTTCAATAAAAAATTAATAATCATATTATACATTGTTATAAAGCGATATGTTCCCGTAGGAGCATTTATTTTATACCTATATATTATTTTAAGTATTTTAATGCATGCGTGTTTAATTTCTCATCGACAAATTATACGTATTTCAAACTTGATGCTCTCTACTTTATTTTGTTGGTTTTTTCTTTAATATTATTTTAGTTCCATTATTTATTTTGTATCATTTTTCACGATACGAGAGTGTATGGGTGTGCAATTCGAGAATAAAAACACATCACTTTACAAATATTATTAATTAATATTGTGCTGTGTTGTTTCTTTCCTTTTGTGTGTCGAATTTGAACTTTGTAGTCTGGACGGCTCGGTTTCTTAAGTTTATTTTTTCTTTCTCCCATTTCTTGGTCTATTATCGGCATTTACTCATCCAACCGATGCACACTCACACACACATACAATATACATATATATACGGTTGGCTAATTTTATTTGGTTTTTTCACCGTTCTCATCCGCTCCGCCGTCTCCTTTCGTTGGTCGGCGGGTGGAAGAGCGAGTGAGAGAGATTAGAAAGTGTCTAAGCCTGAGCGAGAGAAAACTACCGCCGGAGCGTCGTAGCGAATTGATAGAGGATGGACGCGGCGGCGGAACAGACGCGTAGATAACGCTATACGACTGATACGATGACGGCTCCGGCAGTGTTACCAACTTCGGTGCCGGTCCGGCGGAGCCTTTAAATGGAACGACGAGAATACGAGACACCCGCGCCGCCGTCGTTGTCTCAAATTAAATGTTTCTAAAATAAGAGCACTCTTCCCACACACGCTGCGAACAACCGCAGCACGAAATGCGTTTTGGACGAGTGAAAACAACAACGCGGCGGAGTGGTGTATAAAATACGATAAATAGGTGAAGACTAATTTAATAATATTAAATATTTAAATGATCGGTGTCGTGAAGGAATCGTCATGTGTCTTGGAAAACTTTTGGTTTTTATTTCCGCAGGAGTACCGACGATATTAATATACAATATATTCGGACGGGCCTACGCGGAGAAAATCTCGTTTATAAATAAATAATAATATTAAATGCACGCGCGCAAAAGGGCCGATAAAACGCGTACGCTCGTAAAGGGGGAGATAATAATAAAAATATCGTGCGCACGAAGTAGGGGAACGCCAAATGAATCATCCTCGGAACATTAAATAATGGTCGCTCGGAAACTGTACGCTGTGACGGGCCGAGTTGTACTAGTTGTAGTAACTTTTCGCTCTCTGCCGGTTCGCCGATTGTTTTTGTTTTCATCGAAACAATATTTTTATTATTTTGGGAGACTATTGTGGCACCGACGATGAGCGTTGTGACAAAAAGAAAAATGTAAAACAATAGTAATAATGATAGGATAAAAAAAAACACGGTGAAAGCGACTGCGGCGGCGGTTGTCGCCTTGGATGGACCGCCGTGTAATATCGTATTGATTTTTTTCCGTTTGCTGCGCGTCGCGTCCTTCTCTCCCTCTTTACGCTCTCCTCGTCACTTACTCGTACTTGCTATTATAGTCTCGTCCATTTTTATTATTGTAGTCCCGATCACAGATTTTACACGTCCTATTTCGCTTTTTTCTATTTTTTCGTATCCTCGTGCAAACTATTATATTCATTCATTGGTGTCGCAGCCAGGACATTTTACTACGAGTTGTACGTTTTTGACGCTGAGGATTAGAAAAAAAAGTTTGAACACCTAATATTATGTTCTTAGAGCGAAATTCAAGCATATTCTTTGTTTAAATGTGCTACTTTAAAATAATGTGAATAAAAAATTTTAAAGAAAATCAGTATAAACGTCATAAGATAAATTATTTTCCAAATTTCTGCTTATTCTATTTTTAAAGTATAAATAACAATAAAACTAAAAAGGAATTTATGGATATAATACATTTATATTTCTGTTTATTAAGTAAGAAAGTCCTCGTATCTATCACAAAATTAAAATCTGGTTTGTGTTTTTGCGGTAATCTTTTCTCAAGTTAGGTAACTTAACTATCGTAGGGCTCATGATCTGTACCCTAATATAAAACAATAAAAATTAAGGACTCAAAATAAATTTCAATGAGGAGGCTATAATTATAGCATTTTCGACGTTGACACATTGACACTCCAATGTTGTGCCACTGACAGTGTTTGAAAAGTTATCGTTCTTCTGTTAAATAATGTACGTACAGCTGAATGCAGTGGTATTTGTTTCTTAATTTCTAGGATCTTCGTTCACCGCTTGAAATTGCAATTGCCAAAGTGTAGTACAATATTATTATTATTTCAGTGTTTTGTTTGCGTGTAGCTGTGGACTACAACGCTAGTCGGTAAGTATTACATTATAAATACCTACTTTTTTATAAATTATTACAAAGTGCGATCGTTTAGAGTTTAGATAGCTATATAGTATATAAAATGAGAATTAGGTTCATAATTATTTAGTTAATCATTATATTATAAAGTTCTTAAATTAATAATAATTTTGTTATTTACTGTGCTGGACAGTAATAAAAATTAAGATTTTTTAATAATAATAATAAATACTCAAATATTACCTTTATGTCCTATCCTGTAAACACTGTGCAATAATATTAAGATTTGAGCTAAGATTTCGAGTGGTCATCGGCCATCGGGTATGGACATATGGATTCTCAAGTGTCGCTTTGGATTTCTATTATTGATCCCAAAAATGAAAAAATAGATATTATCTAATAAAGATTTTTAAAATTATAAAATAAACATTTATCAAAGACTAAAACAATAGAAAAAAACTAAATAATCACTTATTTTTAGGTATCTTAAAATATATTTCTCTAGTGTTATTCAATAACTCCAATGGAACCTAAATACATTTAAAAAGGTTTACTCTTTCAAATTAAAAACTAAATTTTTAACCAACAATCAGAAATACATTATTATTCATCATATGCAACTGAAACTCTGAGTATTTTAGATAAATAATTATCTGACCTGCTACCTTATCAAAATTCAATGGACTGCATCCACGTTTATCTAAATCGAGAATGTAATTGTAATATAACCACAGTGATTATTTAATTTTATAAGCGGTTGACACTTGACACTATTTATCCCAAAAAACATCAGCTTATAATTAAATAATTTCATATCAGTAATCACATAAACAAAAATTGAAAAATATTAACAATTTTTAAAATATAATATGTATATAATATTATTCATGTTTCATTATTCAAAACATTATTTTATACTGTTGTATACTTACTCGTAGCATAAAATACAATTCAAAAAAGGTGGGCAGTGCAGGGTACCGCTTAACTGTACGTCTGTACCTACAGTTGTCTAGGTGTCTAGATGGGTCACTTTAATGGATGTGCTGAATTTGAATTTTATGATATTATATTATTGTGTATGACAAATGACCTATACTACTAAGTATATTTTATGATGTTATTGGTATGAAATGAATGTAAATATGTAAACATTAGTAATGCAATGGAATTAATTTTTTGAAAAAATTTCATTTGAAAAGGTTATTGTGTATAAAATATAATAATAACTAATAACTATACTTTAAAAGTTTCAAGTGCCCACGAATAATTTTTTTTAATTACAGCAAAACAAGCAAAATCGTTATTCTTCGTTTAAAATTTAAAATGTCATAATTTATAAATAATATATGTATTTTAAAAAACTGTGTTTCAGTGTTTGTATACTTTTTAAATATTTTGGTTACAGTATAAACTATAAGCTACTTATGAGAAACCTTGTCATACATTTTCAATCCTTATCCCAAATTTAACATATTATACAATTTTAACTTAAAATGCTCATAAAAATAATCTTGCTTTAATAATTTTCAACTACTATTGAAATATCTCATGAGGAACCTTCTATATCTATTACATTTGCATACTTTTTGACCCAACCAATTGAAAATGTCAATAAATAGCTTGAAACAATTCGAAATATTTTGAACATTTTCTTATGTTTAGAAAATGATCAAATAAACATTTGATGAAAAATTCAAATATCTACGGTTATTCGTTTTTGGTTTACAACAAATTAAGAAAATCGGGTACTTTCCTGTTGTACGAGACTATGGCTATTATCGCGACTACCACCCAAGACTACCTCCGGTATCACTTATCATGGCTACAGGCTACCACGATTGTTTTGTGAAAAGTGAAACATCACGGTCCTGTTTTCTACAACTACCATAATTTGCATATTTTCCTATTATCACAGACTACCTTATTTTTATTTAATAATTTATTTTATTAATCATATTTAATTCTTGATATTTTGTTTAATATGTAAGTGTTGTGTAGATGGCCACATTCGAATTTATTATATAAAAACAAAATTAAATAAAGCAAAGATTTAATTTAAATACCCAGTAATAATTCGTAATATAATATTTTACACGGTAAACGCCACGCTCGGCGTACGGCCACTGAAAACCATAAAATAATAAATAATAATACAAAGAATAATATTATTATTTATCATCGTCATTGTCGCCGAACATGAACATGAACAAATCAACAAAAATGGTAAATCCACAAATAAAATAATAAATAATAAAATGAATAAAATATATTGATATCATTTTTGAAAACGGTCCATTAGTTTTTGAGTCTACCAACTGCAGATAAACCACCGTGGGTAAAAAATAATATAGTGACAAATATCAAAATTATTAAATTCAATCATAATAACATTTGTATGGTACCTAACCAGTGGTAACTATTTAAATAGAAAAAAAATACTAATTTCTACTAATT